GTGGAGTATCAACATTTTAAGATGGATACCTTACAATCGGCAATAAGGCTTATGACTCCAAACTGTTATATGGCCTCAGTAGACCTGCGTGACGCATACTACTCAGTGCCAATTCACAAAGATGATCAAAAATATCTGAGGTTTTGCTGGAAAGGTAGATTGTTTCAGTTTACATGTCTACCAAATGGTCTGGCTTGTGCACCCCGACTCTTCACAAAAATCCTTAAGCCAGTGTATGCTACGCTGCGCCAGAAGGGTCACCTAAATGTAGGCTATATTGATGACTCTTATTTACAAGGGGAGAGGACTGCCAAGCCAATATTAATGATACCTGTGACTTATTTTCAACATTGGGTTTTATCCTACATCCTGATAAGTCGGTCTTACAGCCAGTTCAAGTCCTTACATTTCTGGGATTTGTCTTGGATTCAGGTAATATGACTGTCTCCTTAACACAGGAAAAAATCCAGCGCATAAGGGAAAGATGCAAGAAAATGATGGAGCTTGTTGAGCTCCCAATCCAGGAACTAGCTAGCTTCATAGGGCTTTTAGTGTCAAGTTTTCCTGGAATCTTATATGGACCACTGTATTATAGACAACTTGAGAGGGATAAAACTACAGCCTTAAGACAAAACTATGGCAATTATAATGCTCAAATGAGATTATCCCAAGAAAGCCTTTCAGAGATAAAGTGGTGGTATGATAACATACAGACAAATAACTACCCCATATTATTGCCTAATTCAAAGGTTGATGTAATAATTTACACCGATGCATCAACTAAAGGATGGGGAGCTGTCAAAGAGACAGAGAAAATAGGGGGTAGATGGTCAGAGGAAGAAGCAAAATATCACATTAATTGTCTGGAGCTGTTAGCTGCAATTTTTGGACTTAAGGCATTTTGCAAAAATGAGCAAGGCATTCACGTTAAGATTTACTCTGATAACTCTACAACTGTGAACTATATTAATGCTATGGGAGGTGTACATTCTAGGGAATGTCACACTATTGCTAAAGATATTTGGCAGTGGTGCATAGAAAAACAAATATGGTTAACAGCTGCTCATATCCCAGGGACCAAAAATGTTGAGGCAGATCGGGAATCACGCGTTTTCTCAGACAACAAGGAATGGATGATAAGATCTGATATTTTCCAACAGATCACAGATATCTGGGGGGAGCCCTCCATAGACCTCATTGCATCCAGACTAAATCATCAGGTTCCATGCTATGTATCCTGGAAACCTGACCCAGGGGCAGCCTTTATTGATGCATTTTCTGTAACATGGGATAAACACTTGTTCTATGCTTTCCCTCCTTTCAGTTTAATTGCAAGATGCCTACAGAAAATACAAACCGATTGTGCAGAGGGATTGATGATAGTTCCAATGTGGCCAACCCAGAGTTGGTATCCCAAACTTCTTCGCATGTTAGTGGCTGCTCCAAGAGTGTTACCACAACAACGAACTGCCTTACAAATGCCGGGGATGCCACAAGAAGTCCACCCCCTATTCAGGAAAATGGTTCTGATTGCATGCAGATTGTCCGGCAGTCCTATGAGACACAAGGAATTTCTCAAAAGGCAACCTCCATCATCTTACAGTCCTGGAGGAAAGGAACTACAAAGCAGTATTCATCTTACATCAAAAGATGGACTACATATTGTCATAAAAAACAGATTGATCCAGTTTCTGCCACTGTCCCCCAGGCACTAGATTTTTTAGTGGAGCTATTTGAGTCAGGCATCGGTTACAGTGGTATTAACACTGCAACACTTCTATCCAGTGTCTTAAAGCCTGTGGACGGGATGACTTTTGGAGCACAAGAGAGTGTTAAGAGGTTCTTAAAAGGAGTTTACGAAGCAAGACCCTCCAACCCAAGATATACTGAGACATGGGATGTGAGCAAGGTTCTGAACTATCTTAAGACAATCTCTATTACAGACTGCTCACTAAAGGATCTGACTTTAAAATTAGTCACTTTAATGTCATTAGTATCAGCTCAACGGGGGCAGACAATTCACTACTTGTCTTTGGAGGACATGGTTGTTTCAGAAACTTCTGTGACTTTTATTATCTCCAGGCCTATTAAACAGTCTAAGCCAGGGTCGAAACCCACTGTTGTTAAGTTTGAAGCTTACCCGGACAACCCTAACATTTGTGTTGTCACTACTTTGAAGGCATATCTTAATCGTACCTCTTCTCTACGTGGAGGTGCACAACAATTGTTTATTAGTCATTACAAGCCATTTAAACCAGTTTCCCGGGACACCATCAGTAGATGGGTCAAAGCTGTAATGCAAAAGTCAGGAATTGATGTAAACCTTTTCAAGCCCCACAGTACTAGGGCTGCCGCAACATCTAAGGCTTTGTTGAAATCTGTACCATTAGAGCACATCTTATCAGTTAAAGGATGGAGCTCATCTGACACTTTTGCAAAGTTTTATAGCAAGCCTGTTATCAACACAGATAGCTTTTCTAACGTTTTGTTACAAGAGTAAAGTTAATAAACTGTTTTTGACCAATATGACTTGCTTGGTTGGTCATTACTCTGTTCATGTGTGCAGTGGGCTTTGAAGTCTCACGTGAGCCCTCAGTGCGGTGACGGAATAGAATTGGAAAATTAAACGAGACTTACCTGTAAGTTGAAGTTTGATTGAAATTCTATCCGTCACCAAGCACTGAGGGATTACGTGCCCTCCCTTTTAAGGCCCTCCCATTTTGCTGGTCAGGGTTTTCTTTCCCCTGCACAGATGGCAAGTGCTTTAAAAACTGAGTTCGCGCAGGCGCAATGCTATCTCACGTAATCCCTCAGTGCTTGGTGACGGATAGAATTTCAATCAAACTTCAACTTACAGGTAAGTCTCGTTTAATTTTCCAATTAATCGTGTAGGAGAGTGAATAATACTTTCCTTAAGATCACTAATTCTGTTGTTTTTTCAAAGTGTGCTTACGCCTTTTTTTCCTCACGCACTCTCTAATTGAAGGGTGTCAGATTGTCACAGATACTTGTAACAATAACGTTTCAAAGTTTATTGGAAGCCTTTTAAATCACTTTTATTATTAATACAGAAATGAAATACTTCGGTGAAGCCTCTCTCGTTAACTTGTTTTACCTCGATTTAACCGTGCGCCAAATGTATTTTATCCACCATTAGTTTTTCAACGTCGAAAAACGTACAATTAAACCATAACTGAAAAATTGTAAATATAATCATGTTCACCAGTTACAATTTTGAATCGCATTTGTTAACCAAACTTAAAAATGAAATGGGGTAATAAAACTAAACTTGTGTCAGACATCAACGTAGTTCTATTAATAAAAAACCGCCCTATTCAAACATTTCAATTCGATTATTAATTGAAATGTCCAGTGTCAAATCAAACGCCAATGAATACTTTTTGTTTTCTTCTCAAAACAAACTTAAAACCAAACGTCAATACTACGAAACAGTTCTTCTGTGAAGCCTTACTCATAACCGCATTTCACGTAGTACTACAGGGTTAACTATTTGAGTACAGCTCAAATAACTTATCATTTCCAAAATAAACATCAACTTAACCACTTTTTTAAAAATCCATACGAACACAATCATTTTTCAATATGTACAACTCAACAATATCAAGTGAACCCTTATTTGAATTCTCATTAACAATAACCTTTCACTAATGACCTTTTCAAGTCAAATAACATCCAGTCAATGCAATTATCTCGACCTACAATGACTCAAAGTAAATGTTTGTTATGGTAAAAGAACTCTTTCCATATTCAACACTAACGTTCTGGAGGTCAAACAACTGCTGATAGATTTCTTCCTCGGGAGAGTTAACTGTTACATCGGGTGCTGGATGGCGTAACATTGAACTTCTCCTCAGTAGCAGATATTACTGTTTTATGGTTCGTTGCCACGTACTTCATCCCATCGTACTTCTTAATTAACACATGTTCAATTATATAACACTTATTGTTCACCACCTGCTGAATTGCATCTCCCAAAAGTGTAAGCTGCATGATCCCCGTATTGTCTGTAATCGTGCAACGATTTAACATTGGTACGATGGAATTGTCCTTCATAGTTACTTGCTTAACACATTCGCCTTCAAAAGTTACGCACCCTTTCACCGAAATCACTTGATTTTCACACAGTGACGCAATTGCTTCTATGGCACTGAAACCCTGCTGGTCATCTCCCGAACCATTTCCTTCTTCGTACTCGAAGTGAATGTCAAAATTATTGGCGGGTTCAATCCGACTTCGTCTCGTTAGCACTATATTCTCCTCTGCCATTCTACCACCACATCGCTTCCCACTGACATTTGATAACTTCACAGGTTCACGCGCTTCTTCATAACTCTTAAGAACTTTACGCTTGCTGAGATCATAACACACAGCTCGTCGCTTGTCACCTTCTTCCACTTGAAAATGAAACCTGAAGTACCGTAACGATCCTCTTTTCGCCGTTGAAACAGCTGAAACGTTATGAACGTAACCCTTGAGTTGAGCCTCGTTATTCATATTTGTTATGGACGCCGCGTTGCCGAACTAATAACTAGCTAACAACTTAACTTACCTCTTTTATACCAACTGTAAAATATTCACAACCAATGATAAAGGTTTATCCACTCTGGAAAATTTCATCATGTGATCAAAAAACATTCCACCAATCTAATTCCCTTTCGCCACCTTGAACTTCGCTCGATCACGTGCCCTTTCTTTGTAAACAAGTTGCATTCCTCACACGTTGTCATTGCAAAAGTTCAAAGTCCATATTAGATTTCAACTAATCGATACTCTACTTTCAAATCACGTTATCGCATACACTTTTCACGTGCTCACTCTACTTCCTCGCATTAGACTTTGCCCCATCACATGTCAATTCCTTGTAAACAACTTTCATTACTTCACGTTCACTTTTCGTAGAGTTCAAGGTCCATCTCGACAATAAAGAATTCCAATGTTGACGTTAACACCTTTAAAATACACGTTCATAACCTTCATTTTCTTAAAAAACTTTAATTTTGTTTCAATTTACTTTCTCCAAGACTTATTTCCTGCCACTATTAAACTTCTGCCACTACTTATCCACGTGTTGAAAAAATGTTCCTCTAATCGCAATCGCTATCCTTATTTTACACTTTGACCTTTCACGTGTGTCTATCACCCAAATTTAACCTTTGCCCCATTGCGTGTCATCTTTTTGTAAACAACTTGCATATTTTCACGTACGCTTCTCCTAGAGTTCAAACTTCATTTCCAGAAAAATCCATCGAAAACTTAGGTGCTTCTATTCGCGCTTATTCCCTATAAAAATTCCACACCTTCATTAACACCTTTGGTTTTCCACACCTTTAATTGTACTTCCAAATAACTCCAAGACTTATTTTCTGCCGACCACTAAACTCGTGCCACCCCTTGTCCACGTGTTAACTAAATATTCTACCAATCGCATTCCCTTTGCTATTTTACACTTTGACCTATCACATACAACTGCATGTCAAAATCAACTCGAGTTTGTTGATCATCCATCCAATTGGTTATCACCTCTCTTTGCTGATTCGTTACTTTAGATGTGTGCCTGTTCATTGGCTAATATCGATTCTTCCCTTCTCTATAAAACCCACATCTCGCACCTACAGTAACAATACATTACTAATTCTCCACTTCTCCCACAAACATGAGCAACCAACTCAGCCTGAAAGGTTACATTCACGATACAACTGCTGTTTTGCAAAGCAGAAATGGATCCACTCACTACTTCACCTTCCTCTTCCAAATTAACGAGAGGCAAAAGCGACGAGCTGTATGTTACGACGATAGCAAACACAAGCTGGTAGAGAACTTCCAAGAATCGAAAAAACCTGCTCATATCATTAACATCAAAGAAAAGCCCAGTATCTTCGATGCAGAAGAACAACATCTAATCCTGGGCAAAAGATCTCGCATCGAACCAGCCGCTTTAAGCGACGTTCCGTTTGAATATGACACTACCACATCGCAGCAACCGCAAACCTCATTCACGGCTATTACAGAAATACAAATCCTCCCCCAAAATCATTTAGCCTCTGTCAGGGGGATAATTACACTGGACGCAGACTCTGTGCGAGAAGTCATCATGAAAGACGGATTTCTTGTTCCCATGTTAAATCGTTGCACCATTACTGACAGTACGGGTACCATCCGCCTGACACTGTGGGGTGATCTTATCCAACAAGCATCCAACCACAAATCTTACTCCGTTACCCAAGTACGCATAAAAACATACGACAATGCCAAGTACCTCACAACTACCCCGTCGACTACTCTTACTCCACTAGAAGAACACTTTAATCCTCCCAGCGACCAGCTCTTTCAAAGCCTCTTCGACATTGACGTCATATTTGTTGACAGGGTAACTCTCGCTGAAGCATTCCAAACTTGGCTTTCCTGTAATAAATGTCACCATTCAATGACGGAAAAGGCCACACTAACCGAAACATCCACCATCATCAAGTGCTCCAACTGTAATGCAGTACAACCCATCTCCTCTTGCACTACTAGCGCTTCCGTACGCATCGCTATAAGAAATTCAAAGTACGAACTAATCTGGTTAAAGGCCTTCACCCCAATAATCGAGGAAATCCTCCATCACTCTGACGCTAAACTAACATTAGACGCATCCGTAGAAGAACTTTACGAAGCAATTTTCAACACGAAGAATTTAACAGTTTCCTACAGTAACACATCAAACATCATAAAGAAGGTACAGTTTTCACATCCAAGAGATGCTGTCACTCCCTGAAAAAAGATTTCAACTATGACGTCAATATACGAACTTCATTTCAAGCGTTACCAACATTCCAAAATTGTTGCGTTACTTTGCTGCGATGAATTCGCAAACAGTTGTTTTGACATTCGATGAAATAAACAATTTTTCATTGATATTTAATTTACAACTATCTAGTTTCTTACGCTTAATAGCTATCTCTAATCTCCGAACAAGGTATCCTAAAGCATCAGATGTCACACTATTTTGTCCCCCAACTTCAACGTATATTCTGTTATTTATTCTCCGCAAACCATCTTCATTTAGAGTTAGTTTATTTAGTTAACTAATACCTATCATGTTCTTTTTTTAATCGGATATACGACATTAAACCCGAATATAAACATTTGCTTTCCGTAATGAAATTATCTGCAATGATATACTAAAGCAACTAAGTATCAACAAATAGTTTCCATTTTCTCTCCGACCAAACAAAAACAAAATCGGCAGTTATTACATCCCGGGCGGCGAGCGGGGGAAGAAGAAAACACCGACATACGAGTAGTCAGCGGGAGAACAACTTTATTACCTTATACAGAGATAGATCAGTTGTAGTTGCACAAAATAGTAGTGTTGTAAAGGCGAAATGTTAACAGTATACTTCGCTGATTAAAATGTTAACCTATGTTTCAAAAGTGTTGATTGTACATACATCTTTTACTGCCGTAATAAAGAATGAATGCATCGGAAAAGGCATC